AGGAAGAGGAAGAACGAAAGCGCATGGAAGCTCTGAAACGAAAGGAAGAAAACCGAAAACTTGCTGAAGCTGAAATGGAGCGTCTCGCATCTAATGCAGCAGCTGCTCACCCGCAAAAAGTCACTAGGTAATCAAAGAGACCTAGCGATTTGAAGTTTATCCTGGTTTCTTTTTCAAATTTCCAGGGCTGAGCTTGAACAACGGAAGGAAGCTGAGGCACGTCTACGCATTGAAGAGGAGAAACGGTTGAAATTGGCCGCTGAGAAACTTGAGGTTTGCTTTCTTGGCTCTCTATTGCGAACTATTTTGTTATACTTTCAAATTGTATTATAGTGAATAAGTTTCTAATTTAAATCACTTTCTGCATTTATGTTCCACTTTTCAAGACGTATTTATACCATATTGTAATCTGTTTACTATTTTGGAGCACTTGCCTTTCATAAATGCTTTTAGGTGGTTGATCATCTTGAGGAGAACCTCAATAAGCTGGAGGTGGAAGGTGAAACTGCTACAACGGTTTCCGAAGCAATCCAAATACTCGAAGGTACCGCTGAAGAGATTGACAAACATCCTGAGAAACGAATGCGAGCGGCTTACCTTGTGAGTTTTTATGCAGTTGTTTTAGTTGTCATCAGTTAGATGGTTTGTGCTTTTTCTGCTTCTTCCTATGTGGCCATCATTTGGTCAGTCTCGGAAGCCATTTCAAATTTAAAAAGGGAGCAGAGCTACTAGATGATAATAATTGTTAGTACTACTTATCTTTTCCCAATCATCATCTTTCTTTGTAAAACACGGTTGAATTTAAGTCACAAGTTTAGCACTTAATTCTCTTGTTCAGGCCTTCGAGGAAGCCCACTTACCCCGTATGAAACAGGAGCATCCAACATATCGTCTCTCTCAGCTGAAACAACTTCTTAAAAAAGAATGGCAAAAGTCTCCCGAGAACCCATTAAATGCCAAACTTATGGCCCTTTCTGCAAAGTGATCGAGTCTTTGTTATCAGGCTTATTGTTCATTTGTACCATACTACTTTTCTATAAGTGCTTTTAATGCGGGATTTTACTAACTTTCCATCTCGGTGTTTTCACTGCAGTTTGCATGTGCTAGGCAGTGTATCTGTTTCATTTTAGGTGGATGCTATTTTGCTTCTCTTCCACATTTGGAAGATTCGTTATGATAAAGTATTTTTGCATTTTTGTATTTCTCATATCACTGGACGCTTTCCACGATATTCCGACATCCTGTGT